AACTGTGAAAAACGTTTTAGTAGAAAACAGGAGTTAACTTATCACATGAGGATTCACACAGGTGAAAAGCCGTTTTCATGTGTGAACTGTGAAAAATGTTTTAGTCGAAAACAAATTTTAACTGAACACATGATGATTCACACTGGTGAAAAGCCATTTTCATGTGTGAACTGTGAAAAACGTTTTAGTAGAAAACAGGAGTTAACTTATCACATGAGGATTCACACAGGTGAAAAGCCGTTTTCATGTGTGAACTGTGGAAAACATTTTTGTCAAAAAGTTAGTTTAACTCGGCACATGAGGATTCACACAAGTGAAAACCCGTAGAAGTGTTTTCCATGTGTGTCAAAGTAGGGCTGTAGGATAATATCGATATCGCGATATATATCGATATTTTCTTTCCTAGAAAAAAATCGATATTCATCCACAAGTATCGTAACATCCAACTGTCATCTTGCTCACTCACTGCTTGCTTCACTGGGAGAGTGATTAGGTCATCAGGCTTAGAGTGATTTGATTCCTTCAGATGTTAAGTGTCGAGGTTAAAAAGGTATCAAACTATTCAGAGCAGGGTGCTTGTAATCCATGTAAGCTACAGTTTGTACTGTTTCAATTAAAAGAAACATGTTTTCTCTCCACTTTGATTCTTTTTGTCCAGCTGTCAACTTTAAGTCTGTGTCCATGTCCAACCAGAGCCAGGTATTGTGTAGTTGGTGCTTTTAATCAGTTTTCAGTTAAATTAATTCAATCCAACTCTATAACCATCACAAAATATCACCAAAATCACTCTGTCCCTCTAAAATCTTTCAGAAAATCGCAAAAGTGTATTGAATTGTATCGTCTGATGAATGTCGCAATATGTATCGTATCGTGGACAGAATATCGTGTATCGTATCATAAGATTACTGTATCACTACAGCCCTATGTCAAAGGGCATAAATCCCATCTCTTTATTGGGGGGGACCATAAACAGGAGAATTTCTTAGGACCCATTTGGGGGGAGGGTGTATCAGCGAAGTTCCCTTGAAACGTAACGTAAAATGTTGTTTAAAGAGACGCACTGAGCTGTCTGCCACTCCTCAGCCCCTCCCTCGCGTTTCAAACTCTTCTAACAGTTAAAGAATCTCAATATGAATGAGATGTTTGCTACCTTTAACAAAAAAGCTTAAGTCTATGAAAGCAGCGTAACAGTTTTGCTAATGAGGCAGTTTATCATGATTCAGCCAAAGTAATGAAATAAACTGCAGTAAGATCTTTATTGTTATTGTGCTTCTTATTGAGCAGTGAAAGTAAATAAAATGTTTACATGTCTTTTGCTTTAAGTATTTACTTACTGGCGGGTTTTTTGTTTGGGCTGCAGAGCCACAGCTAAGGTTGCCACCCGTCCCTTAGAATACGGAATCGTCCCGTATTTGGCTGTTAAATGTTGCGTTCCGTATTGAACCAATATGGGACGCGATTTGTTCCGTATTTCTATAAATGTCCGATAGACACGCCTATCACACACATATGAAGACTAAGTGTAACAATAATGACCAAAATAAAACACAGGAAATATTTGGTCATTATTGTCAGCTAAATTTTAGTGGCGGGATGTAAATAGGACCCCCAGAACGCTACGGACCATTGTTGTCACGGTTGCCTAGAGATGGACACTATGCAGCCACGGTGAGCTGCTGTCAACCCGCGTCTTTTTAAAACATCCTCAACCCGATACCATCATGTCGTTAGAAGGAAAACCTCTCGTAAAGATACAGACTTGAGAGGGAAGACTCCAATCCCAGGCTGAACATGTTAGTGAGGATGAACACAGTCGATTAAAACAAACGTGTTTGTCCTGGCGTGGTGTGCAGTGCTGCATGATGTCAGACAGAATGGATCAGGAGAGGAACACTGAAGACCCGTCAGAACGCAAAGGACCAGAGTCTCTTCGTCCCTCAATCATCTCCTGAGGCTGTTAACGCACAGAACATTTAGCCATGATTAAGTTTTTTATTGTGGTTTTAGTAGACTGTTATGGTTTGATTATTAAATAATCAATTGTTTGCTTATTTAATGTATAGTCGTATCAGCCAAAATTATACAAATGGCCACTTAAAGAACAAATCATACTAAGAGATTAACAGTAAATACATAAATATTTCCTACTTTAGAAAAGTAGCTTTCTGTTTGTTTTATTAAGAAATGTTGACATCTTTTATTAATTCAGTGATCATTTAATGTATTATTGCATCTAGGGGGGCCAACAGGGATTAAAGTCACTAATATAAGTGATAAGGAAAGTTCAGCTGAATCTAACACCAGAACAAAGGCAGACTGGAACTGAAACTGTGTTAACAATTGAAAAGATTCTGTTGTTCATTGCAAATGTAATTAATTGTACAGATCAAGTAAAGCACAAAACAGAAAAAAATCAAAATAATTGTGAAAGGGGCAGAGAGGTTTTTTGGTATTAAGGACATATCTTGGGAGCCCACAAGAGGTTCGGGGCAGAAGGAAAGGCAGAAAGACAAAAACTGATCATCTTACAAAGGAACGCTAGAAGCCTTATTGCAAATGGACACGAGTTTAAAGGATTTATTATGGTGCGTTCACACTGCAGCCTGAAATGACCCAATTCCGATTTTTTTGTCAATTTTGATTTTTTTGCCGGGGCTGTTCACACTGCCAAGAATGCGACCTGTATGTGTTTTGCAGTGTGAACAGGCAAATGACCTGAAAGTGTCCTGCATGCGCAGTAGAGGGCGCAGTAGCGTCAGCGTTCTCAGTGTTCTGCCAACCGCCATAAAAAGAAGAAGCGCTCAGTGTTTGCGGAAGTAAACATGGAGGCTAACGGCAGAGCTTAGCTTGCATATGTGAAGTTGTTGTCCGACAGGAGCAGCATATTAACAATTTCCTCCTCATATAGTTCGTCATGGCTGTTGTTTTTCTTCCCGCTTGTGCGTATCAGGATGCAGAATAGTGAGATTTGTTGAGAATCAGTGACGTTCAGTTCGGATGAATGCGACCTGGACGTCAGGTCGCATTTGAATCGGATACATATAGGATATGGGTACTGTTCAAACTGTCATGAAAAGATCAGATACAGGTCTCATTATGTCAAAAAAAAAAAAAAAAAAAAAAAAAAAAAAAAATCGGAATTGAATAATTCAGGCTGCAATGTGAACGCACCCTAAGATTTTAAAGACAATCTAGATATTATATGCATTCAGGAAAGTTGGCTTAAACCAAATCTTGATTTTATTATAAAAGGATATGAAAGTGTTAGAAGAGATAGAGAGGGAGGATCTGGAGGAGGGTGTATAACATTCATAAAACAGGGAATTCAGTTTAGACTATTGGCTAAAGGAAGAGAGTTAGAATATATTATTATTGAAATCTGAACAGTAAATGGGCGATTTAAAATAATCAACTTCTATAATCCATGTAAAATCCTTTCAATAGATTTAATGGAGAAACTTGAGCTTTTTTAGAGGGTAAATAAAGCTAATTACGGAGTCATCGTAATGATCAAAATGGGGATATAAGAAATAATGGATGTTAAAGATTTGGTGTGTCTAAATGATGGAATAATAATAAATTTAATTTATAATGCACTTTTCATTAATAAAAATCTCAAAGTGTTTCACAGTGCAGTTAAAAACAAAATCAACAAACAAAACAAGACAGTCATTTAAAAGTGGAGTAGGCTTGTCTAAAAGGAAAAGTTTTCAAACCGGTTTTAAAATCAGACAATAATTGCGGGGCTCTCAGATAGTCCGGAAGAGAGTTCCATAGATGAGGAGCAGCCACAGCAAATGCCCGATCACCCGTAGTCCTTAGTCTTGATCGAGGAAGGTGGAGAAGATTACAGGTTTGGGATCGTAAGGATCTAGAAGTTGAATGTGAAATAAGGAGGTCCTTCAAGTAATCCGGTGAGGTTCCATATAGACAGTGATGGGTGATAAGTGCAATTTTATACTGGAACCTATAAGTTACAGGAAGCCAGTGAAGCTCGTAAAGAGTAGGTGTGATGTGATCAAATTTACGAGCTCTCACTAGGATCCTGGCAGCACTGTTTTGAATGTATTGAAGGTGTTTTCTGTGGACTCCAATAAACAGCGAGTTACAGTAGTCGAGCCTGGAGGAGACAAAGGCGTGGATGAGGGTCTCAGCATCAGAACGGGAGAGAAATGAACGAATTTTGGAAATATTGTGAAGATGAAAAAAACAGGTTTTAAACAGGTGCTTAATGTGATTTTCAAATGTGAGATGAGAGTCCATTCGAACTCCAATGTTTGTAACAATGGAGGAAATGGGAATGTCTTGTTCAGAGAATGAAATACTCGTCAGAGTCGAGGATTGAACCTGATGAAGCGTTCCGATCAGTATGGCCTCGGTTTTGGAACAGTTCAACTGAAGAAAGTTATGGTTCATCCAAGACTTAATCTCCTCCAGGCAGGACGTTAGCGCAGCAAGTGAAGGTGAAGTAGAAGATGATCCCGTTCTAATGTTAAGTTGTAAATCATCCGCATAAAAGTGAAATGAAATGTTATACCGATTAATCATTTTACCTAAAGGCAGTATGTAAAGAGAAAAAAGCATAGACCCTAGAACTGACCCCTGCAGTACACCACAGTGATTTATTTATAATTTGAGTAATTAATGTGCTTATCGCAGCGCAATTTGATTTTATAAGTGAGGAGGGAAAAGGATCAAGTGCACAGAAAGAGGGTTTCATTCCCTTAAGGAAAGTCTCTACCTCGCTTTGAGCAATGTCATCAAAGCAGTTCAACCCAAAAGGCACAGAAGTAGAGGCCAGTCGGGAATCAGAGATAGCAAGAAACAGATCTGATCGAATTTACTTTGTTTTTGAAAAATGACGGAAACAAATTGCATTTTTGAGTCATATCTTCAGCATACATTTGTTTGTGGGGATTAAGGAGGTGATGTAGAAAAAAGCTGTTTAGAGTTTCCCGGACTATATAGACCGTGCTTTCCTGAGGGAAAAGGTATACGCTTTCTGATCTTCCCTGTAGGCCTGTTTATGAACAGAGAGATTGGTTGATCTTACACGTCTCTCGATGGCACGACCAGCAGTTTTCATATTCCACAGCTCACTAGTATACCAAGGGGCTGAACGGGAGAAAGACACCAGTCTCAACTTAAGAGGAGCATGGAGCTCCAAAAGCTCCTGGAGAGATTGATTGTAATAGTCGACAGAATCACTTACTGATAGGTGATTAACAGCAGACAGAGAGTGAAGGTCAGAGGACAGAGCCTCAGGGAAGATGTTTTTCAGATCACAGAACTGAATAAAACGTTTTGTGTCCAGAACAGACAAACTAGAGGGAATTTCTAATGAGATGATACTAAATGATGGAAGCGGATCCAGAAATAATTTTAGGGATAATACAGAGTCAGCAATTGATTTAACATTAGTTTCAAATTCTCTAGCAGGTGTTTGTTTGTGGCAAGTCTTCAACACTTGGCAATGGGTGGAAGAGGCAAGACCATTAAAATCAATCATTTGTTCAAATTCTAGTTCTTCATTAGTCAGTTTGCAAAATAATCAGACAGTAGACCAGATATATACAACAAACACTTTACAGAATCAACATGATGGGGCAAACTGTAAATTTTTCATATGGGTTCCAGCACATCATGGGATTAAAGGGAATGAAATGGCAGACAGGATGGCTAAGGAAAGTACCAATCAGGTAAGGATAGATATTAATGTTAGTTTTAGTATAACAAGAATAAAGGGTATAATTAAACAAAAAAACAAAAGACAGGTGGCAAAGGTTATGGGAAGAAGAAAAGACTGAAGGTGGTTTTATAAAATCCAAAAGAGGATTGGACAAATGAGAAGAACAGAAAGAAACAGGAGAAAAGAGATAATTATTTCACAACTTAGAATCAGACACACTGGATTGAAAAACTCGTTATTTTTGATAGGGAAACATCAGACAGGGAAATGTGACTGTGGGAAAGATGAGAATAAGACATGTTATTTTGAGATGTAGGAATTACTGTATTCAGAGAAACAAGATAATTAGGAACGTTGGTAATACGAAAATTAAATTTGACATTATTGATTTACTGCAAAAGGACTTGGGAAGCAGAGGATATCAGGCTGTATTTATTATTTTTAAGCAGAGTAAGTTGTATAATATATTTTTTTTTTTTTTTTTTTTTTTTTGCCATGTGGTCCACACTTCTTACCAGTTGGTGGCGGCAATGCTCACTTAACGTTTCTTGCCAACCGCCAAAAAATATCAAAAAGAAATGAAAGAAGAAGAAATGGACGCCGTATCTGATGGGGAAACGCGGATTGACGTAACACCTGTTTGAACGCCCCACCATCCGTCTCAGTTGCCGAGTCCTTGGGCAAGATATTTCACTCGATATGCTCGTATTATCCAGAAGGGGGCGGTAATGCAATAATGTGAATGCAGACGGTCATAAAATCCCAAAGAAGAAGAATAGGAGGAAGAACAACAAGATGGCGCATAGTTTGTTTTGCTGCATTTTTCGAGAGTTTGTCTAAAGTTTCTCAACGAGCACAATGAACTTTCACAGAGTTTAAAGGAATCATCGTCAAGTTGAAGGAAGAGATGGATGATCAGCGCAGACTGCTGGATTTCTCCCGAACTCCCCGGATTATTTTACACCGAATAGGTAGGAAACACCAGCGTTTGGATGAAGGTTAAGGTCTAAATGTAGAAATTTTCTGTATGAGGATCATTTAGTAACTGTTCCCCTCCTGTATAAATGTCTTGATATCTGATAAATGAACGCGAACATCACAACTACGCTGTGAGAATGGCTTATTTATATATAGAGAAAATGGAACCAATTACCTTTTTTACGGCTCTCGTCCTTTAATTACCGAGTTTTACTTTCGTAAACAGGAGAAATGTGAACAATGCAGCGCAAGGCCAGTAAAGCAAGCAGCATAAAACGATATTTGCGGTGTAAGTAGCTGCAAAATGTAATAATTTTTAATAAATAAATTGTATTGGCGAATATTTGTCAAACCAAATATCCTATAAAAGTCAAATCAACAAACCACCGCTGCACTGAGGTGATGCTTCATACGCAGGTAAAAGAAGTTTAATGTCGAAAAAAAACTTTAAGATTGCTTTTATGGTTTATTCTTTCCAGTTTGAAAAGCAAATAACAAAGATCAAACTTCTCATTGTTTCCTCTCCTGCTCCTCCCTATACTTGTAGAAATGGACTCACTGTCAAGAATCTGGGTTAGGAATGTGTTTGTTCCTTTAAAAGTAAAGAAACAAACAAAATGATAAAATAAGCAGTTATTAAACTCAAAGTTTAATAACTTAACATAATGTTAAGGAGAACTTTGTTATTAAACTCAAAGTTTAATAACTCAAAGTTAAAAGTAATAGAAATAAAAAGTTAATAGCTCCAACATAGAAAATACATAGAAATAATAAAATCAACTTTTAAGCAGTAACAATAATGCCTACTGATGGGTATTTTCCTCTAACCTTCATAAAAGAACCACAGACAACATATATGAATTTTATGACCAAGCTTTTGCAAAAGGAGAAGACTCAGCAAACTGCTCCTCCAAGCCGTTCACTGAGCATTCTAAAGACCCTTGGTTACAGCTCGTCTTTTATTATCAAGCAAAAAGAAGGGAGTACAGGGAAGGGAGACAGCAGACGAAATACGACTGCTGTTTCTAAGATAGGGAGTATTCCAGTTGATAAGAAGGCACCTGTGGAAACATAATTTAAGATCTGGGAAACACAGAGTTAACTGTTTCACATGAAGACAAACAGGCAGATGTGACCTCCAGGTCAGTTTATACACACAGAAGGAAGAGAACACTTTAATAATCTATAGATTGAATGTCGATTAACTACTGTTGATTAATATTAGACTGAATATGAACTAAAGTAATAACAAAATGATAATACCAAAAAATCTCTAACACCTTCAATGAAAAACGTAATACTTTTTTTTTTTATTTGATAATTTTCCAAATGTCAGCTGAATATGTGAACTTATCTGTCTGTATGTCTGCACTCTTTATTTTCAGGTGTGTTCATTTGGTGATTTCTGTCTTAAATGATGAAAGTCAGTTTTTTACTTCAAAAAATAAAGTTAACAATTCCTCTTTTTTCTGTTTTTCTTATCCAGATTACCTGCTACATAATGTTAAGGAGGAGCTATGGAAGCAGGAGAGGAGATCCACTCTGGACCAGGAGGAGTCAGAACCTCTGCAGGTGAAACAAGAACAAGAAGAATCAGAAGATCAGCAGATAAAAGAAGAGCAGGAGGATCTAGAACACCCGCAGATAAAAGTGGAAGAGAAAGAAGTTTACTGCAGTCAGGGTGAAGAACAGGTTGAGTTAAAACAGGAGACTGATACCTGCATGGTGGTTCCTGTTGATGACCAAACATCCCACACTGAATCAGAACCAAACAGGAACCAAGTCATCTTCCAGGAAGCTGCTGAAGCTGAGAACCAAAATCAGAAAAAAAGCAAATCTTTCTCATGTGTGACCTGTGAAAAGCGTTTTGCTCTAAAATCTGTTTTTGATGCTCGCATGAGAACTCACACTGGTGAAAAGCCATTTTCATGTGTGACCTGTGGAAAAAGTTTTCGTCTAAAACAGAATTTAACTCGGCACATGAAGATTCACAACAGTGAAAAACTGTTTTCATGTGTGAACTGTGGAAAAAGTTTTCGTCAAAAAGTTAGTTTAACTCAGCACATGAGGATTCACACTGGTGAAAAGACGTTTTCATGTGTGAATTGTGGAAAAAGTTTCAGTCGAAAACAAATTTTAACTGAACACATGATGATTCACACTGGTGAAAAGCCGTTTTCATGTGTGACCTGTGGAAAACGTTTTAGTCTAAAACAGAATTTAACTNTGATTGATTGAAATACCATATATTTAAACTAAAGTCAGATAAATAAATTAATAAATAAAAAATACATGATTCAATCACACTGCAACAATTACTCTGCTGACGCCTCTGCACATTGGCCGCCTAGCACGCTACTCCAACTCTGAAATTCATCTCAGCGTGGATCGCACGCGCCTGCTTTCACTGAAATAGCACACGACATTTATATCAAGCCCCTGTGAGGATGCATGTTTCTTTGGAGAATTCTACATTTGGGTATGAGTCAAGTTTAAATGCCACCGTATTTGCTCTGCTTGTACAGCTCTAGGTGAAGCGCAAATTTAACCCATAGTTGCGCTTTCAGAGGTGTGAGCATGCAGTGAGAATATGTCTTTGTGAAGATGTATCATTCTAGTGTGCGTTTGTATCTCAACATGCTCCTTAGCACGAGGCTTTGCATCTGCATTGAGAACGTTTATGGATGTTTTCCTGGTTAGATGGGGAATGTTAGTGGGCAAGCACCTTTTGCACTCACCTCGTAGTCGTGCAACATGTTGATTTTATTTAATTTATAAAATTAATTTTCTTTCGATTTTCTTTTTTCTTTTAATTTTGTGGCAACACAATGTTTTGTCTACTTACAGTCAGGCAGCGTTGCTGCATGTAGTGATCAGAAAAACTCGGTCCATAAAGCTCAGGCTGGCGGGTTGTCTGTTTGATGTGAACACTTATGGAAAGTTCCAGTTATGGCATTCCCATCTTCAGACACAGAATAAAAAAATGGGAACCCGTCTTGCATTTAAAATTTAGACTAGTGCAGCTGGAGTTTACGTTCTAATATCCAATTCAAATGCCAAGCAAGGGATTATAATGAGGAAAACATGCAGTAATCTTGGTAGCTAATTGTAATGTGGCTAGCAATAATTACATGAGCAAACAATTAAAAAAAAAAAGACAGACAAACAGCTTTGGGTTCGTTGGAAATATAAAATTCCAGTTAGCTGTATCTCCAGTTACTGAAAAAAACAAAACAAATTTCCACTGTGACGGGGTTGTCTTATGACTTGGGCAACCAAAAATGACTGGCCAAGGCCGGAGATCACTTTAGAGAAATTTATTAAACTTTTCTTCAGGTGATTAGAGAGGAAAAGTGCAAAATAGGTGCAGAGGACATCCAAGACAGGTTAAAATCAGACAAACAACACAAGAGTCCAATACCTTCACTGTGACTTGGCAGAAGTCTAGCCACAGACTTCCTGGAACAGAGCCCTGCTTTTAAAGTCACAGGCTCCGCCCACAGCAAAAACAAGCAAGCAAAAACAACTAAACAATTACTTCTAACTCAAGTAAACAAAGTAATAATTAATAATACCAAGGGAAAAAAGAAAAAAAAAGTATATAAATAAACAAACTTGTGATCAAAAATACAATAATCAATGTAATAGTAAACACTCAGTATGTTCCGATGACATCACTACGTTATCACATGACTCCCTCCTGGCACGCCACAATCCGGAAACAACCCTGCTTGAAACTAGAACCGGGAAAATGTTTGGAACTGAAAATAACAGGTTTAGGATGGATATGTTAACTGAAGCAGGAACACCGCGTGTGCAACCACGATGAACCGCGTCAGTTTAAGCTGCAACAAAAAGTAAGTTAGCGATTATGTAAACTCGTGTGTATGTGTGCGCGGGCATGTTCGCATGCTGACACGGACTCATAATTAAGACCCGGCTCGTGATGGCTCCTCCATCACATCCACCTTAACTAAAAAGATTTTTGAAACAGCTGCAGAACATTTTAAGGCCAATGTTCTGCTACATTAAATAACAAGCATCATCAAACACATTACTGCCAGAGTTACTTAACGTATAAAACTTATATAATTAGCTAATGTTTATAGCAGTTGTAGCAGCTTTTTGTGATACTGTGTAAAGAAATAATAATACATTTCCAATATACTGTGGAGCAGTACTGCCAACTATACCAAACATAGTACCAGTAGTAGCAGTTATAAATTGCTTATTTGCACTTTGCACTTTCATTTTCAAGACTGTTCTGATAGGACCAATTATCAAAAGAGTTAGAGGTGAAATATGAAGAAACATGTGCAACTGTTTTTTGAATAAGTTATGGATGGCTTTTGTGATTGGCTTTTTGGTCTCGAGCTGAAAGTTGAAGAGAGCATGTAATTCCATTAGGATTATTCTGGGCTGGAATTAGGCACTTCACTTTGAGCATTAGAAGAGATTGAATTAAATGATTAATAACCAGCAGACTCCTTGATGTGGGATTGTAGGAGAGAGATGCATAGGAAAATCATCTGGTTACTGCAACCAAACCATTTTCAGCTTTTAAAACTCAAATAACTCAACTCTAAGATGGCCATTTTCACTTAGTATTCCTAATTATGCCAATTGCAATAACCACGAAACTAAGATGCTAAAAACCAGTTTTACAGCCAATTCTTTCTCACACAGTGTGACGTCACCTCCGTTCCTAGTACCAATGTTCAATGACTGCTCACAGACAGAAGTCTAGAAAGATTTATTTCAAATTCTAAGTAGAGTTCTTAAAAAAGACATTTTCAAATATCTAAAACAGGAGATTTTAGATATTTAGATGTCAACCAGAGATGGTTGTTATTCTTGTTATCTAGTACATTCAAAGCTTGCTGAAAGAAACGCTTTTAAAAAGTAACAGATTACTGTAGTTCCTTTAATAAGTGCTTTTAAAGTCTGAAAATGCCAGCCTACTCAAACAACTGTAAAACAATCCAAAGTTTCCATGGTAAAAAGTCAAATAAAACATCAGCTCAACTCTAACATCTACAGTGATAATTTACACTGGGCAAAGTGATCCATCAATCTAATTTGCTCCAAAAACAGAAAAAGCATCTACCGTGATTTAAGACATTGCTAGAGGTGCAGCTACAGTCTCCGGATGAGCAGCTGAGGACAGTGCAAGCTGGTGGGTGAGCAGCGTGTATTCCAGTTTGACTGTGATTTGACACGAGCTCAGTGGAGCCCAGGCACCGGACACTTCTTCACACAGACAGGGAGGCGACTTCACCTAATGGCCCCCATCTCTATCTCCTTTGAAAGCATCTTGTATTCCCCTTCATGCCTCTACTTCTACAAAAGCCTGCTTTTCTTAATTAACCATAACACCCTCTTTACTTTGTGAAGCATTGGTCTTTTCTTTCAGTGGCTAAGCTGGACAGCTGAGTACGCTGTGGTTTTTACTGCTTAGACTAAAGTACCACAAAAACAGAACAGATTAAAATTTTTGGGATAGCGAGTCCATGACCATAACTGTAGGAATGTTAGCAGAATTGTAGAACTTTGCATGTACAGGTAATGCCTAATAGATTTAGATTTTGCCTATATTTACAGGCAGTGCAGCAGTGTCACGATTAAAAACACGAATGACCCCAAAACCCATTCATCTCTCTGTCCTCTGCCTACTGCAGAGGTAACTGTGTGGATGGAGCTGATACTCATCACTTCAATGTAGTGAATAGAATTGTCTTGAGATGTCTTACCATCTCTATGTCCACTGCCTGCACACAACTACACACACCAAGAGGCAGACGGGACTCTGTGGCACCACCAAGGCCTCCATGGGCTCCAATTAATACCCAGCCCTTCATATTCCCTCATCTCCTTATCTTTAAGAGCTGACTGCAGATGAAATATTTATGAACCAGGGAAGGGAAAGACTTCTACATGAATATCAATAATAGGAAAAAAACATCCCAAGGCTCATAGACGCTGCTTGACTGGTACTGCAGGCTGACAAAAGTGAGGTAAAAGGGGAAAACAACACAAACCTGAGTCTTAGCTTTCCCTTGCTGTTTACATGATGGTATCATAAGCTGTTGAAGAATGCAACCTGATAGCAAGCAAAGACTGCAGACGAATCAAACCAGTGATCACTGGACGAGACACAGAAATACTGGTCCAAGATGAGACATGAAAACACACCAAAGGCCAAACTAAAACCTGCCATGGGCAAAATGCATGTCTCTGTATGACTCATCATAGGAGCATCAGCACCATCAACAACTTTACATTTACATATATTAAATACATAAAATGATATATGCTACTTAATTACACTGCATATGCAATGTGATTTTTGGACAAATTCATACAACACCATACGAAATCCATTTGGCCTTCACTAAACCAGAGTGACAACTGAGCTACAGAGAACATTCATTATTCATGAAGATAAGGCCGCAACAAACAAAGGGGACAAAGTGTCTATGAGTGTGCACTAAGATGTGTCCTCATTAACTGAAAGAGGATACAGTTCTGTCAGAATGATGTCATTTAACAAGTCCCTGACAAGTGCCTTTATTGATCAGTAAGACTCTATTATAACATGATAGTGTTGAACTTTAGAAAGGCAAACAAATCCAATAAAGTTCAGATTTGGTTCTTTTAAAACTATTAATTTTTAAATATGGTTGTGCTTAAAAAAATAGATTGATAATGTATGTTATATCCAGCCACATACCATTATGCTGTCTGATCTAAATGCTTTGTTGCAGCAAAATTATTAATGTGTGGTCTCTTCCTCCTCCTAGTGGTAAGACATAGCAGTGGTATTAAACGTTCTAAACCCTGAACCACCAGATTAAATTATTTAAGAAAAGATCATGGGCAGATATTACATAAAGATAGAAATAGAAAATGGATAACACCATAGTGATTATATAATGGTCAATGCTCTGAAAAAAACAACTAGCTTAAAATTAATGCTCCACTTGTTTTATCAGTTCAATTAAATTCAGTTTAGCACTAATTCACAACATGTCTTCTCGATGTATTTTACAAAAAACAAATCCATTCTTAAACTTTTGGAACAGACTTAGAATAAGTATTATTTGCAGAACAGAAATAAACAGAAATAAATATGTCAATGTTAATTTCTGCTCAGTTGCATCTGTCCATTCTCTCTCTTACAGTAAATACATCATTTAAGTCCCTTGCTCCTTTCAAGCATTTGGTGCAAGGTGTTTAGGGGCTTATAGTAGTCCACTACAGTCTGGTTTATTGTCCATCTTTTTAAATTAGATTTCTATATTTTATCTTTGAGGACAGAATGTTTTGCTGGTGTGTTTACCTTGTATGAAGGCAGAAAGCAGAGTACGCCTTTGGCCATGACCCGGCAGACATGGAGCAGCAAATCCCCCACCTCATCCTGGAAGGCAAATGTTTCAGAGTGCTGAAAGGTGGCGCAGAGTTTTCGGCCTTGGGGTCCTGCACCAACAGTGCCCACCCACACCTAAGCACAACAGAAAACAGTGGGTGATGTTCAAGCAAAAATAGTCAAATTAGCTTTTCTTTGTGTGGTGGAAGGGCCTAGTTAAAAGTCCAGCGCTAAATACAACAGTGTCAGTGGCAAGACAAAATAATTGATGTTCAGAAACTCTCCACCCAGTCTGATTTAGCCTGAATTACTTTACAAAGTAAAATTGGCAACATTTTCAGTTTCCATATGTACAACAGCGGCATATACTTTTGCTATCCATTTTTTGTTTGTGAAGTTTTAATTTTTGTAAACATCTGGATTTTTTTTTTCCCCAACCATGCATTTTTTGGATTTTCACAGTTCAGAGCAATGACAGGACACCAGGACCTACCATCTGGTTTCATAAGCATATTATACAGAATCTATTTATTTGGACTTTGAATTCATGTCAAATTCCAGAAGGGATGACTGAAATAAAATCAGGTTTTTGAAGATATTTTCATTATCATTAGTCATCTTTTGAAAGAAAAGAAAGTAAGAAAACAGTTGATTAAAATCAGAAATTGGGTACACTATGATAACATCTGAGATAATATTTTTAAAATCGCACTTGTAAACAATCTTAAAAAACAAGCTTGTTTCCTTTTCCATCCATGTTAGAACTGCTTTCTGTTGGTCTGTCACATACAGCCCAATAAAGTATATAATTGTTCTGGTTGAAACACAAAGTTCAAGGGAATTCTTAAGCAAGGCATACTGTCTCCTTATTCAGCCTGGGTTTTATATCACTTGGAGACATTGTGACATCTACTGGGCAAAAAATGTACTTGGCAGAAATAAAAGTCTTGCAATTATCTCTGGAGTCAATTTAATCAAGTAGTGTTAATAGGTTTCGATGTAAAAACAAACACTGCTTTATTCATGAACACATGTCAGAACAGGCACTAAAATCTCATTAACCTGGGATTTGTTGATCACATGGTTGGCTTCTAACTGGATGGTGAATTTTACCCCAAGTTCAGAGGAGAAGGAGCCCATAGGTGACAGGGTTCCTGATGTCAGTACAATACTGCGCACTGACCCACTCAGGTCAGAGAAAGCCTGAAAATAATCAAAACAAATTCAGAGTTCAATTTTATTTAATAACAAAAAAACACAGGGAAATCGACATTCTTATTGCTGTTGAAATCAGCATATTTCTTCAGCTCAGTGATAACACCCTCTGTTTACATGTCAAACATCTCACCACAGCAGGGTTGAGGCACCAGAAGCTCAGGGTGAGAACTTCCTTTTTAACCCGCGCGTTTTGACGGTGTCGGTGGTGAGGCCGGACCAAAAAGCCCTGGGCATCAGGAAGGTCAGGTGGGACCTGATTGGTCCAGGCGTAGCTCCTCTGCAATGCAATGCGGTAGTCCTCAGCAAACCTGCAGCACAGGAACACCTCCTGATCGACCGGTTACAAAAGAAACACGAAGGAGTTCCAAAACGTCAAAGTTTGGTCTCTCACCTGCAGCTGTCCCTGTAGAGAAAATCCAACACCATGAAGAGGTTTTTCAGGACAGTTGCTGTAGATGCGCTGATAATTGGGACCTGCACCATGTCCTCCTTGCCATTAACCAAACCAACACGCTCCTCCTTCTCCAACACAGATGCCAGGTTTTGCTGTCTCAGACATACAGTAGAGCAATTAATCTAAGCTGCTCCAAAGAGCTTTAAACTTTCAACTTCTAATGTACTCTCAAAGGACCTATTAGGCAAAATTCACAATTTGCAAGTTTTGGGTTTCTACTGCTTCTAAAATCAGGCCAACCCCTTAAAAAATCACTCAGCCAGTTTTTTGGTGTCTAAAAAATCCCAACTTTCAAAACAACTTTCAAAACTTCCGGAATGTAATATCACAAATCAGCAGGCACTGCTCCTCACCTAGCAGTGCACCAGGCTGCACTGCAATGCACTTCAAAGCCAGTGGGCTTTGAAGCCCAGCCCCTCACCTAGCAACCCCAGCAAAACCCAATCCGTCACCTAGCAACCCCAGCAAAACCCAATCCGTCACCTAGCAATCTAGGGTGTTTTGTCAGCTGGTTTTACCATCCAGAAACCACTTGCTGCATTCTTGTTGATTGTGCAGGAGTCTCTACGTCTGCTTTTCAAAGATGTACTGTTGAATAATTGCTATTGATGCTCCAATCAGGTTTTTTTGGAGCTGACACAGATACAGATCACCCATGAGGGCCAATCACTGCCCATCACTGATACCAATTTGATGGATTGGCCGTTTGTTGGTTTAGGTATAAATGCTTTCGGCTATGTGATCTTGCAAAAAGGAACTATAAAATCACCTTAATTTAGACAAAAACATACAAATCACTTGCAGGTGCAACGCAGTCAAAAAGACAATTAAAAAAATCTATCAGCAATACAGGATGAGGAGTTCAGGCTCTCAACAGCCTAAATTATACAGAAAGTTAAATAAATCTCACAAGATGTATTTGAAAAAGAAATCATTCAAAGTTAAATGCAGGTTGCATTAAGTAAACAATCCTTAGTTACTAAATCAAATCTGCCTGAGAACATGGCTAGCTGTTTTGTGCTCACTGGTTGTTTCTGACTGAGTGAAGTAATTCTGCAGAACACAGAAGAGGGAGGCAGAGAAGCTCAATTTTAGCATGAGGCAGATTACCTGCCTCATGTTGAGACATAGCGAAAAATTTTATATATGGTATATGTAAAAACTTTTTTGTTTTTTTTTAGTTATATGGTGCAGCTTCTGTGATGGACTGGCAACCTGTCCAGGGTGACTCCACCTCTCATCTATTGACCAGTAACCCTGGTGACCTCACTAGGAATAAAGGTGTAAGATAATGGATGGATGTATGCTGCAGCTTTAAGGAGACATTTGATGTGAGAGTCCAAGTGGATCCATGCCTGGTGGGGCAGGAATCTAGGGCAACGATGTAGAGTTGTTTATCTACCAGGCACTAGATCTGCCTGGTAGAAACTAGTTAGTTTCTGTGAAGCTAACCAACGTTAATTCTGTGAAATATTGCGCCCCAATAGAGCGTGGCAGCAGTCCAACAGCAAGAGCACTCGATGGAAACCAGCGTCTTCTACCCCTCAGAAAGGCTGGTCATCTAGTTCAATAAATGTAATTATTTTCTGGGTTATTTGCTCAGCCTTCTGATTGTTAAGTTCATTGTTGACAGTTGCGGGGTGCTTTAATTGTTTCTCCTGTCGTCCTTTTTTCTGAACTCAAATTTGATATACCATCAAATGCTTGTTTTTTAAATGTGACATTAAATTAATTGTGTTGCTGCGTTTTGACATGCATTTCCCTTGAGGTATTTTTTCAAGATGCAAACTTCACATCACTCTCAGAGCGCAACGGTTCCACTCGACATTGTTCAGGATTGGCTGCAGCACGCTTGCTCAATGTGAAAGAATGGGGGTGATACGCTGTACACAGGGCCTCTGCAGGTTTACTGATGATTGGTTTTTGTGATCAGTAACATTAAACAATGATTGGCTAACACGATCACATATCGGCTGATAATGATCAGTGGCCAATGGATCGCAAAGCCACTCAAAGTTGCGCATCTGTTAGCAGTTATTTTCACGTGTGAGTGTAAACATTGAGGTGGAGATTGTGGCCTTTAGTAGCTTATTTGGATGTAAGTGACAGGAGGCCCTAAAACAGCTCATTCTGAAAGGAGTTCAAAATAGGCAGAACTAATCAGACTAACATCACAATAACATCTCAAAATCAAGAATGATTTTGTGCAAAAACTGTAATGAACATGTTTGTGTAGCACATAGACCCACCCTAACCTGTTCAAGGAAGCATAAGAGGTCTTTAAATTCAGCAACTCTAGTTTTTTTTACCTTCATGTTACTGAAGGTGTCAAATGTGACACCCAAGCTGTGGAAAACGGTCAGTATATCCTTTCCACTCCAGACTTTGCAGGCGCTCTCAAACCCTCGTTCAGACAGCAGTGCCTGGCTCTCTTGGATCCAGCTGAGTTAACAACAGAAAACTGAATATAAAGCTCAGGTTCTGATAAAGACAAGATGGTACGTTTCCCTCAAACACTGACTTAATCAGGGCGTAGCAGAAGTTCCTGAGAGACTCGTGCTTGGAGCGTCTAATGTTACTGTGGACCATGCCATCCAGTTCATCTTTGGTCATCTGCAGGCCGCTGAGCTCTAAGGTGTAACTGGCGCTTTCCCTTGCACAGTCTTCTATGTTATGGGCCTCATCCAGCACCAAGATCTGCCCCTCCAGGTCAATCTCCATCTGCTCCAGAAATATTGAAAATAAGAACAGAACTGATTATACGTTCAGATGTGATGAGGAGTTCTTGATCTGCAGCTTTCATGGTTCTTCCACTGTTTATTTCCATTGGAACTCACACTCTCTCTGATTATTGGATCCAGTAAGTAGTTATACGGACAAAAGATGATAGAGGCATCCTGCATAAGTTCCCGAGCAGCATAGTAAGAGCAGGCACGGAGCCTTTTCCCCAGAGACACCAGATCTTCGATGTCCCAGGCTTCACGCAGCCCATGGACCCACTGTAGGGTGTGCTGGTCCCGCATCTTCTGCACACCATGGTAGAACCTGCATGACCTTCCCTGAAATATGAGCATGTTGAAATAAAAATAAAAAAAAACGGACATATGTGATGCATAATTGATCATAATGGGCAAACATCAAGTTCCCAACTCCATCTCTCTGTCCATCTTTCTAATAATACAGTCAGACAGAGATTTAAAAAAGAAAAGCAAATGAGGTGGATTAGCAGAGCTTGTCAACAACTTCTGGTGTAATTCAGGACATGTTACTGTGGAATATTATCTCTGTTGCGTGGATATTAAACTGTTAGTATGTGATGACAGCCATCAGACTGTCAAACAGCAACAGTCATCAGTCAGAGGCTATTTTAGATTTGTGGCAAGACTGACTCCTACTAAAGATCTTTACTGCCCACAGTATCACCATTCACAGTGACTCCTAATATAATTGGTTGATATAAGTTACAACAACATTTAATTTCCACTTAGGATCAAATATTTTGAACTGTATCCATTATCACTAACTATAATAATATTCCAATATGGATGTGTTGTTTGGAGCAACACATCCAAACACTCATGTAGAGAATGGTGAAGCAATCTGAAGAAGCAACATCTAATGTACCAGGTACGAATTACTGCCAGCAGAGATCTCACACCCTGTCCTTTATTAATTTAACAGCTTGAGGTGTCACTGTCACAAAAACACTGTACACAGTTTCAGACACAACAATCACAGAGGATGAAACTGTCTTCTTCTCTAAACGACGTACCACGTGGGAACAGTGACACTGAACCCTGTCTGCATGGCAAAACAGGATCTGATTGGGGGATTAACAGCCCTCAGCTACTGTTGGGATGTCCAGAAGAGCTCTGAGTGAAGAGCAGCCTGAAAACTAGCAGCAGAACTGCTGTGTGTCCCTACAGCCTGCTAACATGACAATGACTGCACCAGACCCTGAGGAGATACAGGGTGTCGGTGACAACTGCTCCAGATGGGGGTTATTTCTGGGCCACCCTTTTCATGACAAAGTCAGACAATTGCCTTGGAAGGCCAACACCTCCATTGACAGCATAATTGTCATCATTACAGAAGGCGCCTGAACTTCAGGACAGTAGGGGGTTACAAGTGTATCATGTCTCAGAAAAACAGCTTTTGACATTCTAGGGTGTCAAAAGATGTCGTGTGGCTCAATTGTACAAAATTTCTCTGAGGCTATGAGCTCCACAGTTTACTCTAAGCTGACTACACAGTTGAGAAAGTGCATCTATCTGATATAGTAAAAAGAAAAAAAAACACTCTATTTGAAGCAGGGTAATAATAGTTTTGGGTCTTTCATTATTGTTTATTTTTATTTTGTTGTGACTTTGTTAAATTTTGTCAATTTTAACTAGTTTTTAGAAAGCGTTTGCTAATTTTTATTAGTTATTTAATTTTTTTTGTTTGTTTTAGTTTTTTTGGTTAAAGTAATAGTTTTAGCTTTTTCATACTTTTTCATACTTTTTAGTTCTGCACCTAAAATTTAACCAAAGTATTGTACTGTGATAATGAACACTCAACAGAAGATACCATTTTCAAAACATTTATGGAATTGTGGGAATTCCACAATTCCATAAAATGGCGACTTTTGCTGTCACCATTTTGCCAACTGGTGCAAGTGTCACCAGGAGGATTATGGAGTGCCGTAATTTGCAAACAGCTGACATAAACCACTAGTGTAGCGGTGGTGAGTGGTGGGTTTTATTTCACATCAGTTCGAAAGACTAATAAATCAATTCATAAATACAAGACTGAATGATATTAGATCTATAATTTCAGTATGATTTAGTTTTGTAAATGCACCACGTAGATCCAGTTAATTTTAGTTTTTCCCCATTAATTACCATTTTCATTTACTTCAGTTAAAAATTTTCTCAATTTCAGCTTAGTTTTTTTAGTTATAATAATCTTGTTCTGAACACATCATGAGTATTTAATTGTTTTTATGAAGGTGAAACACTAGCATATAGTAAATACCCTGGAGCTGTTATATTCGTGTATGTACGTGTGCGAGTGCGTGTGTGGGTGTGTGTGTGCGTGTGTTTGCGTGACTCCTTTCTCACATCTTTGGCCTGCAGCAGATCCTTGCAGCGTTCATTGCGGTTGAAATGCGGCGCCACGTCTGGGTTGACACAGGTGTGATCTCTGCTGGAAAGGATAGTCATGTGCACTCCGGAATAAACGGTGCGCTTCAGCTCATGAGCAATCTGAGTTATCTGCTTATGGGTTCGTGTGCCAAAAAAAATCTTTGGAATCTTCTTGTTGCCATCTTTGTCTTTGTCTTTGCTCTTCAAGTTGTCTTTGGCTGATGCACACGGACAGCGAGAGCAGGGTTTGGAGGACTGGACAGAGAAAAACACTTATTTCTAACGGATTATAGTTTGAGTTCAGCATAGTTTCATTTTATTTTCTGTTAATTCTATAGAATACCAGCGTTACATCAAATGTCAAAGCATTTGCAGGACAAACAGGTTCAACTCATATTTTTTGTGCTAAGAATAATGCCAAAACTTAAATGTGAATGCCATACGATCTTATTCAATAAATTAGGACATACGTCCTGATGAGGGTCATCAGATTAAAAAATAATCTTTTACCAGGTATTAAGATACATTAAGATATGTAAAGATGACAAAACATCAGTCATCTGATTAATCTATATAACACAGAAGCTAGTTGTTCTGTCAGTAAATTACCTGACAGAACTACTGTTTTCAGTCTATAAACTTCAGTAAACAATTAACTGATGTCTAAATTAGTTGACAATTATTTTATTAATTAATACATCGCGATACGTCATTTCATTCCTAAACTTAATTGTGTTTCTGAAGTCTGGCTTTGCTTGCATTATACTGATGCTTTAACAACTAGCTCAAAATAATTTTGTCTTGACTGACTCCAGGTAATTCCAAATTCTCATAAACGTTTTCCTTGAAAGGGCATAGATATCAAAGAGAATGCTGCAGCACAATGTAGCTAAAACATAAATAAACTGAAAGTATGGCGACTTTCCCTGAGAATTACGATACAAATGGTACAGACGCAGCAACATTATCCATGGCATGAACAGGCAGTCTGACAGAATGTCTTGTATACTCTTTTGAAAAAACACACTGAGAAGAATAAAGAATTTGTATCCATACATAAGGCATCCTGTCACTCACCACCAGGTGACCTTTACTAGGTTTGAAAGATGATAGGCCACCATTGTGGTGAATAAGAAAATCTAGCTACTTTATAATTGGTTGTCCGGTGACGAAGTGAGTTATTTTTCCCTGCTCACAGGTAAAGTGTAGAGCTTATGAAACTGATACTGCTAATGTGTCAAGCTCTTAAGTGGTGCAGTCTTTGACTGTTCAGTTATTCACAGGAATAGCTATTCTAAAATCCTGACTGTTTGAAGATGAGTCGGTTTTCACAAATAGCATATTTAGGAACAATAACTGGCATTGGCTGCATGTACTTTAAGCTAGCACAAACTAACAGACGGGGAAGGAACAGAAAAAGTACACAAACATTAAATAGTGGTAAAACATTCACTGAAGATGTCAGAAAAATTATTTTTTCTTCCTTAGTGGTCTTTACTGTTAATTGACAGCAATGTCTGATCACATTACACCATAGTTTCTTCACTCTGACCTAGTCAAGTGTTTAAAAAAAACACACTAAGGGTTTTTTCACAGCTGGTTGTCCGTAGATTTGATTTGATTGGGGACCAAAACTGCAACATTTGTTACATTTTCAGTTGGTGTGGTTCCCTTTCACAGGGCACTGTGTCAAACGATCCAAACTAACTGAAAAACCTGTTTCTCCCCTTCGCCTGTGGTGGCGCTGCACCAAGAACTATTGAAGGAATTGACACAAAACCTCTGAAGAAGACCAGCACACATTCCTTCTTCAAAAAATTTAAACAAAAAGCAAGTGGTATCAGATTTTATTGGTTGTAGAATTTCTCCTGCAGCTAGTGATGCTCCTGCAGGCGCCATTACTACGCACCAAATCATGTCCGCAAAACCAGACTGTACCAATGGGAGTAGAAATCTGTCACAAAAATGGTCATAGCACTCTTATTTCTTATCCAATTTCTATAAAATACAGCTTAAATTAAAGCTGAGAAAATTGCTGATATTTTAATATTTAAAGATCCCTGGATATAAATCTGTAAATGGCTAAATAGCTTGGTTTCTGTCAACATGAAAGCGAGGACTACGCAAATTTCTCTTTTATATTGGTCAATAACAGAATTTTACATGATTAGCGCTGTTAAAATTAGTTTGTTAAAATTTAATAAACAATGGCTGTACAATAGTTTAACCATTTGATGATCATTTCGTTGCTTGTACTTGTGACGGTGCAATGACAATAAAGTTGAATTCTATTCTATTCTATTCTATTATGAATTTCACCATGTTCTAGAAACCAGGCAATTTGTCCAGTTTTTGTCGTTTAATGAAGGTTTAAACATTACAGTGGCTACAGCGAGACACACCAAAGGGAAAATTAACTGCTAAACTGGTGTAAACCACTTTCTGCTTTTCCTCACTCTCTGTGTTGTCTCTACACGAGGACCTATTGCCACGACAACTGACACAACACTTCCGCTAGGCCACAGAGCAGAGAATAATATATTGACCAGAATACCCTGCGCTATAGTTAGCTTCCTGCTTTTGGAGCAGTCTCCAGTCTGCTTGCATTCAAGGGACTGTGTGTCTAACAAGGTAGTCAGCAACACACAAACACCACAGCGGACTGTACTCTCACCATTCCTTTTCACGCTGCACACTTCAGACTTTCAGCATAAGTCTGACTTTCTGTCATCTACAGAAATACTCAGATGACTGCTGTTCTCTGGTGTATCAGAGATGAACAAAAATCTGAGTACAGAGGTCTGGTGGACTGCTTTGTGGCATGGTGTGGGAACAAAACAGATGATTTTTGACTTCAAGAGAACAGAGTTAGATCAAACCCTAAATCCATCATGGGAGAAGACATGGTTGAGACTGGACTGCAGATGCAAAGAGAAGCATCTGTAAGAAGGAACATAGCAGACTGGACTTGATGAAGAGGCTAAGATCCTTCAAGGTTTGCAGTAAGATGCTGCAGATCTTAAAGTCTGTTGTTGAGAGCGTCATGTCTTCTGCTGTCATCTGTTGAGGCAGCAGCATCAGAGCCAGAGACACAAAAATATTCAACAACTTGATAAAAAGGCTGGTTCTGTTTTGGGGACCACTGTGGAATCTCTAGAGATGACGACGCAAAGAAGGATTCTTCATAGGATCAAGAAAATTATGGACAACCCTGACCATCCTCTTTATGATACTGTCTTGGAAAAACGTTTGCTACAAATGATCAAGTGTTCACTAAAGTTGTTATTGCACTTAGGTAATAAAAGGTTTATATTCTTAATAACGGAACTAATTTGAATGTTCTTATGTATTTCTAATATTGTTTAAAATAAGCATAAGTGGTTAAACGAAAATCTGCACAATGTGACAATTTTTTTATCCAATTAATCAATAAATCATCAGAATAATCAAATACTAAAATAATTGTTAGCTCCAGCTCTATACCATTTATACCAACTAAACATAACTCCCTATTCTAGCCAACCCTTAAGTCTTCCATACTGACAAGAGCGATTCCACACAAGAATGAATGGTATGTGATGCCATGCATTGGTACTGGCTTTGCTACTTATCAAGGGATCAGAAAGTAACACTTCTGATGACATACAAGAAGCTCCAATTACCCAGTGGCTCAGATTTTCCAAGAATGTTTGCCCATCAAAAATGACAATGTGTGGTGAAGTGTAGACCAGATAGCACTCCTAGAGAGCTGCCTCTCAAAACTAAGAGGGATAACGAGCCCTGAGCCCATGTGAAAAACAAATAGAGGTGCTCAGGGCCCCAACACCAGTTCAAGTTACCGTTCTCCTCTGAAACAGTTACGCTCCACAGCCTGGGCCTAAGGCCCGATCACCTTACCTGCCACTGCCACATTAAATAGAGCTATCCAAATATCCTGCACCAAGATGGCCAATAATTACTTATTCATTGGCAGGTGAGGGGAGGGTGGGGAGCTTAGGGCAGCGTAGAGGGGCATCCTGATGAATAGAGGCCCTTGTCAGGAGCTGCAGCAGGAAACAGCTGACACAAGAGTATCTTTTTACGCGGCTCCTTCACGAGATGTCAAGACAACAAGGTCTCAAGCGTGGCCCCGGAGCCCCAAGCAGAAACCCCTTTGAGAAGAATGCAGACAACTGGCAGAGGAGAAAAACACAACGCTGCAGAATGGTTCTCCTGCTGCCGCTCAAACAGAATGCTTTATAGTAACACAAATGCACCACGCTGTTCTTGGCTTTACAACTGCTGGTACACTGGGGGTGTTCTTGTCTCGCTCTCTCACACACACACACACACGCACACATGCAGACACACACACGCTGCGAAGTGTAAGCATACTGCCCACAGTGGCTGCTGCTTGTGAAACTGACAGAACAGAGGTCAGTGGTGTTACTGAACACCTCAGAATGTTCACAGGTAGCTCTTTGTTGCTGCACTCCTGGCCAACACCTGAGAGATGGAAATCTCACACTCCATAGGGGCCGGTCACAAGGAACCAAGGGGCCACAGGCAGCGGATCACCTAGGCACTGCTGGCGCCTCTGACTGGACACCAATATGCTCCTCATTCCACAGCTTTCGAGGGCTTGGAATTAATTCCAATAAAGGGTGGGCTTCAATAGGCACTACTTTGGAAGACCTGACACCCAACACCCCTTCTCCAGATATGACCACACAGCACAGGTAGGGGCCCTGGCAAATATCTGCCCTCCGAAGCACCTGTTTATCCCTCGGGCGCAGTAACCAGCGGGTGAACCCCATTCAATATTTATCCCTGTGGCTTTCACAGATCAGCAGCCCAAGCGAGGCAAACCCTCTTAATTAAAACTGGAGCTTGCTTCAAAGGGCCCCATTCAGGCCATCAGTCAGCGCTCGTGGGACAAAGCAGTCCGGATCATGTAGCTAAAGTGAAACTAGAGACAAACGCGCTTTTTCGACTTCACTTTCCCTCCTCCTCTTTTTCCACATCCGACTATCCAGAGCTCTCGTTCCAAGCTCCACAGCTGTGGCAGGCTGCGACACTGATGTGGGAGGCAGAGCACCCCTGTCAACTACCAGCAGGGGTAGTCATGATTTGGGAGATCATGACTAACTTGCTTTAGTCTGGATCAGGGTTACTTCTGAACCCAAACCAGAAACCACATCACAGATCCTCTCAGAACATTATGTTTCTGGATAGATCTGATTCAGCTGCTACTACAGCTGAAAACAGGTTCAAATGTTAAAATATTTATATAAATTTTCATTTCCTGGATGACTGGCATCAGATCATATGTGGCTTATACAGGAGGGAGTACAGATAGAGTGCAGCTTGCAAAATTTGAAGATCTGGGTCAAATGGAAAAAAAAATAAAACATTATGGTGAAATGTCCAGAATTTGTGCGACTCTGAACAACTTTCATTGTATTTTATTAACATGGGTATACCACCCCTCATTTTTTTGTCAATGTAATTAGTAATAATTAGTAATAATTAAAGAAGCTTAGCAAACAAAAACAAAATTATTATTCTTTAATGTAATGACCAAAAAATTACTATGAACTGACAACAAAACACCAGAACAAAGGAACCTTTTCTGATCTACCTCATAAATACTAACCAGAAAAATCATGACAAGAAACTTTTGAAACAGCAAGACATCAGTTCTTGATCTAAAACCTTTCAATGTATGGATATAAAATAGCGTTCAAAGTAAAAATATTACTGTTCTAAATGTTAAGATGTCATCTAATAAATGTTCTGCTCAGATCAGTTTGAAGTAAAAAGAATGATGAAGTTACAAATATTACAGTGAAACAGGATGCATAAAAAAACACATTTCAATTTATTCAAATGAGTAGTGTTTTTTAATTGAATTACAGTAAATTTTATGAAATTCAAGCCTGTTCTTTTGAAAGAACAGCAGTAAGAATGTAACAGAGGGTGGCAGAGAGAGACAAGAACCAGAGCATTTTAATTCATCTTTCAATAAATCTGCCATTTCTTATTTCAGTGAAAATGACCCAAACTAAAAAAGCAGCTGTGAAAAGTATGAAAACTACAATGGGAAAATCTAAAAGAAGTGCAGGCTTAATATTTTATCCAAAACATTATTCTAAGTGTAGCCAATCAATGAACTCTGATAATAATCCGTCAGTCAGATTCTATAATCTGGCATTTATGATTCACCATTGAACTGGATCCCATTATTTGCAGCAAACACCTGAATGTTGTTACATCTGTTTCTCACTCAACTATTCGAATTTTTTGCCTCCACTGATTTGTGTCCGACCAATTGTATTGACTAATATCTGTTTCCATTTTTCAAACAATCAAGCAAATTAAACTACTTGTAAAACATAAGAAAGATCAATATTTTTCTAATTCATTATTTTACAAATGATTAGGATGATGGCAGTGAGACCTTGTTTTTTGTTCCAAATTGTTTTGAATATTGTGCTATTTGTTGCTGCTTTAGCATGAATATCATCCCTCATCTTATCAGAGAGTGTGGCATAGCATTTAAGTAGTGCAATGTATAAATGTGAATAATATAAAGAAAATATGAAAATTTCACAAAATGACTAAGAGAAACGATACTAATTATCAAACGTAAACTGTGAAAACAAGCATTCGAGCTTGGATTAAGAAAAATTACTAAATTATCAACCACCTGCATATAAATAGAACTATTAACATAAATGAGAAGCATAGCTGTAAAACGTCAACAATCCCCAATGCAGCTGCTGTGATAAGAATCTGCCGTGTGACACACAGATAGGAAGATTGTTTTAGTTGAACTGCTGTTCAGGAGCTCAAAAATACAGAAACCAACCAGCCCTTCTTGCAAAATGTAAAAGGCAGCATTTTGTGCAATTATAATTTTTTTAGAGGTATTTTGTCAAAACTCTCTTCTGAACATAAAAAATATCATAATTATGAATGTATTTAAATAATTTTATAATAATAATAATAATAATAATAGTTAATCAGCTTTATCTGAAGTTAATATCTCATACTTTATTTTTTAATTCTAACTAAAAACTTTTATTGCAATTCATTATTTTTCATCTAAAGCTTGCTCTAGTTTGAACATTTCATGTTGAATTTGTGGAGCATACCACCACCTAGTGGTCATTCTGAATTGTGATCCTGAAAATTTAGGATAGGAAGCTCATTAAATCCAAATCAGCTGCAGATTCTTTAATGTGTGACAGTTTTAGCCTCAACATACAAACATCCTTCATCACTCAGACTGCTATGAACGGAGAATGAAGGCAGATGTGTTTCATGCTAGTATCTGGTAACTCGTGCCAGAGGTGCGGAGGCATCTGTACTAGATCTATTCCCACAGGAAAAATTCCGACATGTTATTCAAGGAAAAGTCAGCTGAAGTTACTGACAGCTAAGGATGACCCATTACATAGCAACGAAGATGTGCATGCTGGGACATTTTAGAGATTTGTTCAAGATGCCTGCCCTTTCTGATCATACAAGTACTTCATAGTAACAAGATGCTAGGAAGGGCAGTGCAGTGATCACAAAAGATGCACAGCATAATGTGAAAAAGCAGTAAGTAAATCTGAACTGCACTCACAAAACTTACTGAACAACAGACTGGATCCCTAAAGCTTCATGAAAGAGCTGGTACTGGAGAGGAAGGGAAAAAAAGCACTGATCTATTTCAATTAGTTATGTGTTATGGAATATGTTTAGAAAAGAGAGAAATGCTGTAATGTTCTTGTGGCTCGTTACCCTGAAGACAGTTCTATCCTGGTATGAAATGTACTTACACTGCTTGATGAGGACAAACCAGCTCCCTGGTGGGTTGAGGCAGTTTTCCAGCTCTGGGGACCAGATGTTTCACTATCCAACTCAGGTTCGTCATCAATGAATATGACGCCTTGTTGTGTGCGCTGCCTTTTATGGCTCTAAAAAGCAGAAAAGAATTTGACTTCAATGTACAAGTAAGTTTTTTTTTGAAGAATTTTGTCAATTATTTATTCATTGGAAAGGTAAACAAAACAGACCAGTTAACTGTATTCTACGGAGGTCCCTAATGGACATTTGCATTCCCCCACAATAATGTATTTACTAGTCAGTTCATGCAACATCTCTAATACTGAAAGTCTTTCTGCTACAGAGTCAGATTTTTGTAAAGATTTTTCATGAATGTGTATATCTTGATTGTTTTATCTTTATCTTACTCAATCACACCACAAACGGAGGCAAAACAGGTCAAACATGGGTTTTCCATTCCTGCTCTAAGACATAAACATGACAGAAACTTTCTGTAACGGTGCGTTCACACCAAAAGCATTACGAGCTTCACAAATGTGTCTGACTCTCCAAGTTCGATGCTTGTGTACTTTTGGTGCATTCACACCATACGTGTTTTGAGCGCCAGGCACATCTGGTTTACATTCAAAGTCTATGTGGAGCGTTGGACGAGCTTGTTGTGTCAAGTGGTCAAAACACTCCAAATGGTTCAAATCGTGATGCGCTAGATGTTCAAAGGGGCAGCAACGGCCCTCGACGGGCTTCCACATAGACTTTGAACATAACCCGACATACCTGACGCTCAAAACGCGCTTGGTGTGATCGCACCATAAGAAGGAAAGAAAATATACATCCAAACTATTTGGACTATTTTTGAGTTATTCCCACCTTTCCCTGTAACCTACGACTAACCTTTAATCCCCAAATTATGACTAAAAGAGCCATTTCCACCAAAAGAGTAATTAGTTGCTATTATAAAGGTGCTTGATAATCAATTAATCTTTTACTTCATCAGCATGAAATCTTCCTGAAGATGAGAACATTACAGTGTGTAATTTGTGAATGTTTATGCAATAGAGGGAAAGTCCCGTGCTATGACACAACTTTATCTTTCTTTTCATTTCAACAAAAAAAAAAAAACCTGCCGTGGCATCAATTCTCTTTTTACTAGAGAATTTCTAGAATAGACTTTTAAGAGATAAAGTAAAGAGTCAAGGATGCTTCATAGTTTGATTACATTTGGTTTCCCTTGTGATGTTAAGAGAGATTGAGACTTATTCAGAAAATAACTCCTTCAAGTTATTGAAATATGTGGCTCACTTAATAGGTGTGTAAATTCTGTTTTGCTTAGTGTTTTTTTTTTGTTTTGTTTGTTTGTTTGTTGTTGTTCTTTTTGCTGTGCACCTGAGGTGATATTTACATAATTGCATAAAATAATTTTTATGATTCTGACAATATAAAACTGTCCTGGGGGTCCACTGTCCAGCACACCTGAGTCAAACAATTACATTCCCTCCTCATCATGCAAGTTCTGCAGAAACTTACTAAAGATCAGTTCAATGACTCAGGTGTGTGCCAGTAGCAAAACGAGTAAAGCAAAGACGGAGCGCCCTGGGGACCAAGCTTAAAGACCCCTCGATGAATACATTAAATTCAGGGTAAATATCTGAGGATACACAGCACCTTGTACTCTGAAGTACGGTTGCGCTTCCTGTCTGGTCTGAAGTCCTCATCTTTATCGCAGTCAGGGTCTAGAGAGGCCTGGACTTTCTCCGACAGACGGGACGCTAAAGACTGGCTTTTAGTTTGAGACTCACCGGGTAGTGGCACTGAAAAACAGAAAGCAGACCACTCATGAAGACATGGATACCCTCCAACTGTGGTCATTTTTATGACTGATTTAACTGTCAGCATGTTCCCATTGGGTCACAAAAAAGTAGAAATCAGAGAAATCAAACAGTTACATGAAACAAGCCTGAAATTGTATCAAAAGTTAACAATTGGGCCACTCACTGTGTTCTGATGCTGTGTGCGATGGCTGGGCCGTCTCTTTGCAAGGTGACTCAGTGAGGTCCACCACAGCAGGCTGGGCTGCTGCTCTGTGGCACTCACAGGGACACGGCCTGGGAGGTTCTGACTTCTTGGAGTCACCCACATGTTTATTTGACTGGCTTCCGTCTCCAACATGACCTCCTCCTTCTTTCACTTTAGCTGACAAAACAATGCAAGACTTTATGCTGTCAGGTAGCATGATGGGCCATATGGAAGACCTTTGGTGGTCTGACTATGGAGAGCGAATATTTGTAGTCTAAAACTCAGAGAGAATACCAAGCAAAAGTATTAAGACTCCTTGAACTGTTCAATTAATGTCTCATTTGCCATATATCTGCCACAAAGTTCATGGCATCTGTCACAGAAGCCACACCATATCAGTGACAGCCGCATGTGTGTATGTACATATGTATATTTACCGGTATTCTCTTTTTTTAATTGATTTGTTCGCAATATATCTACTCATACTCAATCTGCCACCAAAACCGTGGTGCAACTGTTACAGAGGATGTAAGCTGTCACTACTGAGCTGTGAAAGTTTCCGCCAGGCCTGGCGGCCGACAGTAGATGTGCCAAGATTTGAACTTGACCCTGCTGAACTGCGTTCTACTGTGCATCGCATAATAACACACTGACAAAGTTAATTTGGTATGAAAAATTTTGCAATGTTCTGTGCTAATTTATTCAAACAAAACAATAATAAAATTTTATGTAATCAATTACGTTAATTAATAAGTAAAGAAATCTAAATTCAGTAGTTGAAGATAACATATCACAAAAAGAATTGGAATAAAAACATTCTTGAATAATCAGAAGGTACTATTATATTACCATACCACATTGAAAGCTGGTTTGTCTGCTGAAAACACATGCAGCCTTACCCATCTGAGCCTGCTGCCAGCCCAGCGCAGAGCAGAGCAAGGCCAGACTTTTACCGCTGCCTGTGGGACTCTCCAACAAACAGTGCTGTCCATAGTTCAACCCTCGCATGATCTGCAGAAATAATGACACAATGTAGACCAAAGCAAAAAGACAGCAGCAGGCCCAGTCTGTCACAGTCTGTCAATAAGAATAAGAATACACGTAGGACAGTTTATCACAAGGCAACACTGATACAAACAGAAGAAACAACCTTTCACACACACTTAGTGCTGCTGTAGGTTCTGGAGTGTGAGCAGTACCAGAGAAGACTACAAGGAGAATATGCAAACTTTACATTGAAAGGTGGGGATTCACACACGGAATCTTTTTGGCATCAGAAAACTGTTCCTGCTGTGACCCAAGTGGTGACGAAAATGAAACAAGTCCAACACTGAGAATCAGACCCTGTACTGTTGCACTGCTAAAGCAGCTAACAACGGGTGAATATGACAGGTGACAGTATGGACGTGAAGATTCCTTTTAATCTGAGTTGACTTACTGAATTCATCATGGCTAGCTGGGATGGATACGCCTTGCAGGGGAAGTGGACCTTCACTCCGCCAATGGTGTACTCCACAGGAGAGGCCATGTTTCTAACAGAGAACATCCGTTTTAACATACAATCAGTAACAAGAGCACAACAAAGTCTACGTCCTACGTTATTATTGCCATTCATCAGCTCACAACCTCAAAGTTCATACACAGCTAACATATTAAGTGTTCTAAAGCACTTTGGCCACTTATTTAAATATTTCCTGCTGCCACCAACCTGAAATAAGATACGACCCTAACAACTGTCTGAAAAGCCAATACTAGATTTTTACCACCGTTACCCTCACTTATGACAGCTGTTCCATAATGTTTAGTAACTAACGTTTGTTAATAAAATCGTAAAGGTTGTTAACACAAAGTATTCATATTCTTTCTGCGGCCCCTATACTTCTTCCCGCTCTCCAAAATCACATTGGAAACCCAAACAGGATGTTAGCTACGTCACAACTGAGTTCTTCCTACAAATCATTTCAAAATAAAAGCTAGATGGAAAAATCCTGTCGATTGTACGCTCGAACAGAATTTGACTTCAGTTTTCACTCACAGAATACAAACATTAAACACTAATATATGTAAACTTTAGAGGAAATAAAATAAAGAATAAAAGGAACATGTAACATCCCACCTCTTCGAACACTGAACAGGTGGATCAGAACACAGAGTAATATACTTACCGTTCAATAGTGAGTAAACCATGGCAGAGTAAAACACAACACTGACACATTCTCAGCAAAAGCAACCACAGATTTAGTTTGACCAAAGAATAACTAGCAATTTATTTCTCTTTGTTGTAGTTTTTATATTTTTTGTGCATTTTAGTCGAGTATTTTTATGGATACTTATGTATTTATACATGCATACATAACTGTACAGTCATGCTCATAATAATAATGTGTTTCAAAAGGTAAGTGTAACTCTTCTTGTTTAGTTGTCGGTCACCTAGTACAATACAGAATAAAAAACTCTTCACAATGTGGTTTGACTGCAGGCAAGTGGTCCGACAGGCTCCACCGGTGCTCCTCAGAATTCTTTATTATTATTATTATTATTATTATTATTATTATTATTATTATTTAGATTTGATCGTATAGTTTAAACAAAACAAAAACAAAACAAAACATTCTTATTCAATGAATCAATCAAAAATAACTAACAGCAAAAACAGTAAAATAACAGACAACTGTTATACCAGTTGACAAGTAAAACATTCATAAAACATTTTATATATA